GAGGAGACAGGCTCTGATTTTGTCTAATTCACCACATTTTCTACAAAGCTGTTTCGTAGTGAAGAAAGAGTGAACAAGAAGAAGGAAGAGCGAAAAGAGCCCAAAGATTAGAGACCTCTCATTTCAAACAAGGCAAATCACTGTTGATTCATTAATAACTAGAGCATTGTTACCTCACTTTACCAGTGACTTGTTTGAATTATTCTAGCAACAACTGAGCCTTCTCATTTATCATCCTATTCAAGTGAACTAACATCAAACAGTGCAATATTTTATCGAGTCGATGGTGACTCCGAGTCTACTTATCATTATCAAGCTATTCAAGTCACTGTATCAATATCTGGTACTTACACGTTCGCGAGCGACAGTGATCTCGATACTGTGGGCTATTTTTACGACACCTCCTTCGATCCATCAGTTCCTACTGAAAATTTGGTGACTGATAATGATGATGGCGGCGACATGCGTTATCAGTTTCGTATCGAAGCTTTCCTCGAAGCTGGACACACATACATTCTGGTTGTGACAACGCATACGGGCTCCGAAACTGGAAGTTTCTCTGTAGAAGCCAATGGTCCTGACTCCGTTAATCTTGTGTCGATCACTCCATCAACGAGTCGACCCATAACGGCAGGTCAGTTTTTCTAAAAAATATCTTCGACGCAAGTGAAAAGCATGAGGTCTGTTTTACCTTGAGAGCTCCTTCAATTTTGTTCTTTATCTTGGTCAGCAGCTTCCAAATTTTGTTTTAGGGATATATTTGGATTTTTCGCTCATTTTTGTTATATATCTTGCCATCAAATGAAAGGAACTGGGCTGACGGCAGGTACCTAGCTGAGAGTGAAGATTGACTGTTTGGAACTATGTCTTTTTGTGATGCAGTCTAATTGCATTATGTTCTATCAATAGATAAGTCCAAATAAATCTGGTAGTTTAGATAAATTCAATAAATCTTAAAGAAATAAACTCCAGTCGTCCTTCAAAAAATTGTGTCGTAATGAAGAAAGAGTGAGCACGAAAGAACAAGAGCAAAAAGAACTGACAGACTAGAGAATTCGTATTTCAAACGAATCAAATCACTGTTAATTCATCATTGACAAGAGCATTTCTAACTCACTTTAACAGCGATTTCTTTCATTCTTCTAGTACCTACTGAGCCTTTTGTGTCATCATCCTTGCCGAGTGAATTGTCATCCAACAGCTTGACGTTTCATCGACCCGATCGTGACGCAGAGCATAACTATTACTATCAGGCTATTGAAGTCATTGTAGCCACGTCTGGTGCATACACATTTACAAGTGACAGTGAAATCGACACTATGGGCTTTTTTTACGATACTGCTTTTGATCCATCCAATCCAACTGCAAATTTAATCACTGAGAATGATGACGGCGGCGACATCAGTTTACAGTTCCATATCGAAGCTTTCCTGCAAGCAGAACACAAATACATTCTGGTTGTTACAACACATGGTGAATCTGAAATAGGAAGTTTCTCGATCTTAGCTGGTGGTCCAGCTTCCGTTGGTCTTAGATCGAGCACACCATAAAGATTCAAGAAAGTGAATTGATCGACGTTCATTATTTTCTTTTTGTGGGGAAATTTAACATTTTCATTTTACGTATAAAATATACGAAAAACGACTAATTTTGAATAGAGAAGCATTCATAAGATCTTTTGTTCTTGCTTTTTGTGATTTGGTGCATGGATGGCGACATCTGTTTAGAAAACCAAGACATGCCTATTTTGGAGCTTCATGTGATCAAAAAGATTCTTGGTAAAAATAACATAGGTTCTAATTAAAAAAATTAGCAGTCAAAAGTCAAATTACATGAAAATGTATTTCAAACAATGGTGTTCGAAAAAAAATCCTTAGCCTTCTAATTCTATCTTGGAAGTACGAGTTCAGTTGAATAATAGACACATGTAACAATTTCACTCATCGAATAGCATTTTTTATTCTAAAAGTTTGGTGTGAATTGCTAACAATTTGATCGAGAGAAAGCTTTATTATTCAAAGTGAAAAAATGAATAGCATCCTCATTTAGAGTGGTTCTACAAGCAGTGGCGTAGCCAGGATTTTGGGCTAGGGGGGGCTCAGCCCCTCAAAAATTTTCGACCCATCTTAGGTATATGAAACTTATCTGTAAACCAATATAGAGATGATTTTTGTTTATTCTGATTCTTTCCTCAAAATATAAGCTGAGCTAACAAATATAAAATGGCAAAAGATGTTCGATCTTCATTCAATTGAAATAACAACAATAGATGAAATAAATGTGGAAACCTCGGATTTATATCCGAGAGTTATGTGTACTTCAAAAAGTGAATGAGACAAATCAGTCATCCTAGAATATCTGGATATAAAAATTAGCCGGGCAAACCTTTTCTATTGACGCTTGAATTCAATTGGCTACTGCTCAACCAATAGGATTTGGAGGTGAATACAGCTCACATTTGAACTATTTGGTCCCGGACATACAGAAAAAAATAAAACGAATTAAGCAACGTGATTGGTCTATTTCGATTTAAATCGTCTTTTTGAGACGATTTATTCGTTAATTCAGTTTTGATTCACTTTGAATTAGTCGGTGTTCGGGGTCTTCGCCTTGATTTACTCTAAGAAAGTCGTTTTCCCTATAACTTGATTTCTATTGGTCAGTGCTCAATCAATGGAGCTTCGAGGCAAGTGGAGTACAAATTCGAGTTCTCCATCCCGAAAAACCCTGGAGTATCGCCTTTGCGATCAGAAGATAGAGCTCTAATTGTGGATCAATTAGAGCGTGGACAAGAACAGAACCGATTTCCGTTTATTTATCTTTGCAATAGGTGAGTTAGCTTCCTTGCTTCTTGATGCTTTATATACCATTTTGTAGCTCGTGAAATTCTCTGTCGAATGGTATATAATAATTGGGGTTTTATGTAACCATGATCGGGAAAGCCTTTTACAAAAGCAGGGACTGGTTGATCCTCACATAGGAAAGCATAGAGGAAAATAATTATTTTTACAATAACTCACCAATGGCTCGGACACTCATTCTCATCTTCGAACTAAACCGAGATATTGTTGGGACAAAACTGTGTAGAAAATTTCATCATGATTGAACTCTGCTTTCAAAAGTTATCACGTAAACGGCCGGTCGCTCGGTCGGACACACTGACCGATTCTAGAGTGTACTTACTTTTTGAGTACACAAAAATTTTGCTCTTGAATGGGAATAAATATGCAGTTGAACTTTCTTCTTTTTATTCTTCTTTTTTGCTCTTTTCTTGCCTATTTAAACGTATGTACTGGAATGGACGAAGAGAACTAGCTTGTAAAAATTAATTTTCTTCGTCCATTCCAGTATAAAAATTCAAATAGCCAAGAAAAGAGCAAAGAAGAAGAATAAAAAGAAGAAGATTCAACCACATATTTATTCTCATTCAAGAACAAAATTTTTTAACTCTAAAAAAAACGTATTACGTTCGAAACGTTGGTTATAATATATATTGTTATATATTTATATTTACATTTATATATTTTACTCTCCATTACTATGTTAAATTTTTATATAATTGTAAATAATAATTTATATAAAATATTTAATAAATTAAGAAAAAGCTAAATTTTTTTAAAAATGATCAATACAATCTACCTAAGACGTATGAACTTTCATTCTGATTTCACAACAACAGACATCGCTTTACTCTGATACGAACCAATCACTGCAGCCACCTGCAAAGCTGAAATAAACTACTCATAACCTAATAAACCTAATAAACCTCATTAAAACTTGTATTCGCATTTACTGTATTTTCTTTTATTCAAAGACATATGAGTTGCACAAAATTAAATATATATGTTAAAAGGTAAAATTGCAAACACTAATCTATTTTGGTATAAAAAGAATATGTCTTTCTAAAATTTCGCCAGGAGGGGCTCAAAAGTCCGTAGGGGGGGCTCAGCTCCCCCTGGCCCCCTGCTGGCTACGCCACTGTCTACAAGTCGGAGTTATCAAAATGTCTAATGAATTCAACATGACCGAAAACTTGCAGGCGTCACTTATGGATGACTTTTTAGATTTACGGCTGAGAAGCAAATGAGAAAAGTGCATATAAATGTAAGCGCATCAGTAGTGAAAATAAATTGTTCTTCTCTTTACCCATAATGCAGAAAGAAATATTCTGTTCTGTTCTGTTCTAGTATGCGTAAGATAAACTCAAGAATGCGAAAAAATGTTGTCTTTGTGTTTACTGATTCACCGACAAAGTCATGCAATAACTGAAAGATGAAAATTTCCAGTATACGCGAATCACTTAGTATAGAAAAAGAAAAATGCATTTATCTCACTAGAATGGAAAAGGGTCGCTTTTATTTTGTTTCGATTATTAATCAAAATTCCAGAAGCATTTATTTGATGAACTGTTTTTCCTTGGAAGAATGTCATAATATCAATAACTCGGGTATCGAGATTCACAACTTAGCTATTAGAATACTTACTTAAAGTATACGCGGTACCAATATGCCACTAAATTAAAGATTTGAAGTGTATTTGGTGTAACGAGATGGACGCCCAACTCCATACTCATATATTCAGGGGTGGCGCGAGTCAACCAATATTGGGGGGGTGTAGCGAAATTTTTTGGACTAGAAAGATGAAGTCTGCAATTTTTCGGGGGGTGTAACATTGTTTTTGGTGACAAATGGAAGAAAATTTCCTGATTTTGTTGAGCAAAAAAACAAAAATTTTTGAAGATTGGGGGGGTGTCGCACCCCCGACTACCCCCCGGTCGCGCCACCCCTGCATATATTCTCAAAGTTTAAAATGTTGAGACAAGGCTATGGAAGTAGGCCTTATCATGATACCTCAAATCCTACTCTTGGAAATCTGCACACACTCACACTCTCTTTCTACATTGTTCATACTTCATTAGAGCCTACATGATGCGTATAGTATTGACTCAAAATCAATTGCGGGCATAGAGCATCTCCTTATAAGACAAAAATCACTTTTCAAGTTATAAATGAATCCAGTCATTAAATACAGAAAATGGATGTGCCATTGGCTTCTTCCGAAAAATCATTTCTAAGAGGTACTAACTAGCGTAAAATTTCAAATATATAAAAAGCGGTGTAATGGAAGTGAAACAAAAAATAGATTTTTATTTTCAAAAACGAAAGTCATTCAAAAAAAGTTAGCTGTTGTTGATGAAATAAACTAACTGCATGATTTACTACAACACCCATATAACAAAGAAATTTACAATTTTCTAATAGCTAGCCGGAGTGTAAGCGTCAGAGTTTTCTTCTTTGATACTCATACCTACGACTCTGAAATTCAAATAGCTAGTTCAACAGTAAAAGATCTTTGATTTACGAGGTACTTTTGGAATTCGAATTTCTACTTATTTTTCACCGGTACACAATTATATTTCAGTGTGATTCGATGCAGATACAGCTAATACCTGGTTTGTTTCTGGTAGAGGTTCCTCTTGGCTTCGTCAAGATGTGCATTGGTCCCCGGGTTCTTTCGATGGTGGAAAATGCTCGGAAGAGATCAATCTCTCTACTATGTTTGTCCGACCGGGACTAATCAGAAAATTGCTTTTTATGTCGAATTCCTATGGGATGCATGGATCGGAATTATTAATGTATTAATATGTGCCTTTATGAAATATTTGATTTATCATCTGTACTTCTTGGCGACATGTATCCTAAAAATTATGAAAATGTTTTTGCGTATAGAAATATGTGAATGCAAGGTCTCCTTTTTTTATCGATAATGATCTTGTTTTTCAATGTATTTGATACGCAATGACGACAGACATTTGTATTTTATTGGTAATGAATTATTACAACTTCGATCACATTCATCTAAAGGAAGCTAATTGAAAGAATTACTACATAATCTAAATTACTCATTTAAGTATCCGAATTTGATGTACTTAGAAATTCTTCTTATGACTGTGCGTATTTAGTATTTTATGGATCTCTCTTTCAATTTTCAAAAATAGAATAAATTTTGGGATGACCAAAGAACTATGTTGATAGAATAGCTTATCGAAAAAACGCATTAGATAAGAACAAAAAATGCAAAATAACAGTTACATGTGTTATCTTTTTTTTTTAATGAGAATTTTATCTCTTATTTATTTCAAATAAAGAAGTGTCTGCAAATAATAAAATATATTCGTTTTCAAAATTGCAAATGTCTTTTTCATCTCTACCTGTGATTGATCTTAAATCAAATTCAGATGATATTCATCAGGCTCTTTTATTGGCTTGTTCAACAACAGGTTTCTTTTATGTATCAAATCATGGATTAGATTCTTTACAAAGTCAAATGTTTTCTATGGCAAAAGAATTTTTTTATCTTCCTCTTAATGAAAAACAACTTTATTCATTAAATACAACATCTTATCAAGGTTATTTAAGAATTGGTCGTGAAAATCTTGATTCAACCAATTCAAAACTTATGGATGAAAAAGAAGCATTTTTAATTCCTCAATCAGATTTAAATAAAAAACAACAATTACCTAATATATTTTCTCATGAAGAAAATTTTAAATTAATTGAACAATTTTTTCAACAATGTTATGATCTTTGTATGCATCTATTTGAATACTTAGCTGAAATTTTTCAAATTGATCGAGATTATTTTACATCAAGACATAAATGGGATAAGGCACCAGGTGTCGCACTTAAACTATTACATTATCCACCAATAAATCAAATAGAACAAAATATCAATGTTATTCGAGCGGTAAGATTTCAAAATGTAAACAAATGAATTCTGAGCAAGGAAAATTTTTTTTTATAATATTACTCATAAAGAAAAACATATACTAACGAGGAAACATATCTAACTGTTGGACGCCGTTCGACTTCGAATTATGGTTATGAGTAAGCCTCGAAGAGACTAAAAACTAAAAAGAATACATGTCCATGGCCTACTAATGAAGAGATGTAGTCATTTTAAGAAAATCTTTTTCTGCGAGCAAGGTATTTTCGAAAAATTCAAAATCACAGAGTTTCGAACTGGAATTTTGTCTAATGGCAGATTCAGCAGTCTTGAAAGTTTCAACGAAAACGAGCATGTCTTTCTTAAGATATCTCGCGAAAAAGAAACCATATTCGTTTTCATTGAAACTTTCAAGACTATCATATCTGCTGTTAGATAAAATCTCAGGTCAAAACTCTTCATTCTGGATTTTTCCAAAAATCTCTTGCTCTCAGTAAAATTTTCATTATAACGAACATAACTAACTTATTCGCTATCCTGTTTTTATTATATATACTTATTTGAAAACTTCGAATGGTCTTAATACTATGACGTTGTTTATATTTTACATGAATAGTTTTATTGGTTTTTACTCCGTTTTTCTTGTTCTATGTAATTCAAGAACAAACATTGAATCCAAATATGAAGCTGGTACCAGTTACCGACCGGTCTGGTCCAGTACCGGTACGAATTTCAGGCCGACCCGTCTGACAATAGATCGGTCTGACCTTTTCAGACCGGTACCGGTACTGATCGTCAAAAATTCGGACCTGTCCCATCTCTAGGCCATGGGTCCGAATTTCTTTAAGCTTATCTTAATTTCATCGAGATCTATCCATACGCATAATATGAAGTCGAACTGCGTTCAACAGTTAAATATGTTCTCTCGTAAGATAATCTTATTTTATTGTTGAAAGGGTGCTCATTCGGATTATGGATCACTTACTCTTTTATTTCAACATGATAATAAATGTGGTCTTGAAGTATTTGATCGTTTAACAAATTGTTGGTATCCAGTTGAAGCTCGTGATGATATGATTGTAGTTAATTTTGGAGATGTTTTTGAATATTGGAGTAAAGGAATGATTAAAAGTACAATTCATCGAGTTATTTTACCAAATAATATTAATGAACAAAATCATTCTCGATTTTCTATTGCTTTTTTTTGTGATCCAAATGGAGATACACTACTTACTCCTATTCCATCTAAATTGATCGAAAATCATATTTATACAAAAGATGAACATGCAAAACATGTTTTTAATGATAATGATGGACATGTTTTGACTGCTGGTGAACATATACGAATGAGACTAAATAAAACTTATCAATATTAATTCGTGCTTATCCATTCATTTAGTTTTCAATCACAGTAGCATTTTATTAGAAAATGAAGAAATATAGAAATCAATTAAATTTATAATCATTTTTATTTTTCGTAGAATCAAATGTTTAAATATTAAAATACAGAGTACTTTAATATTTTTAATTCATTTTTTTATGTGTTACTCTTGTTATTTGTGAAAATTCTAAACGAAAACTTTCATTATTCTTCACTAGAGCATTGAAATAATGTTTTGTTTTTGCCGATTGTTATTGAAAACAAATTATTTTCACTCTTTAATAATGTTTTAATAGAAAAAGAGCTACTATGTAGCAAAGTATATGTTCCTAATGATTCAGCATAATCGAAAACATCATTAAAAATAGTTAGAAAAATATTTTACGCACGTTCACATTGCTAAAAAAATCGATCAAACGTCGTTCGTGTTTGACTCATAACTTTTGAGCGAAATGAGATAAGAGTTTCGGCCTTTCGTAGATTTGTAGCGCTTGAGCTGGCGATTCTAGAACACTCCTCAAAGTTTAAAATTCGTTGTATCGTCGCAGAGCAATAATGTACTCTTCAAACATGACTATGGATCACCACCTATAATTGAGGTAAACCTCAACAATTTTATATGGATCGATGTGCTGACAAAGCCTCTTTCCAATAGTGAAAACCGCAGCTCTCTATCTTATTTCTATCGAAAGATATTCAAAAAATACCCACCCGCCTTTTATTTTAAATTGGGCAGTAGTTTGAGCGATTATTCAGTTGTTCAGAAAAAAATGACTCATTATGTAGTGATATAAAGAAGAGAACGATGGATAATCAGTAGAAGATAACGAAAAGGTCATTAAGTGTATTTATTAGAAGTTAACTATCCATGAAATTGAACATCTCGAAAAAATTTTCTAAGAAAACTGAATCGGGTCGAATGTGTCAATAATGATGATTTATATTCATTTTTAAATATAAATTATCCAAAAGAATTATTTATCTTTCTTTTAAATATAAATTACCGATAATTTATATTTATTCTAAATTGACACGAAAATGACACCCCAAGCATACTTTACATATTCTTTAAATGATCTGATAGGAATCCAATAATAATTATATTACAATTATTGTAGTTCTTACTCCTATCCAATAGTTCCTGATAGAAGGATGGATGTATGCATCACAAAGGCTTTATATTATTTCGTCTATTCAACAACTATTCTATGATCAGTAATACTTTGCTTTGTACTGAATCATATACATAAAAAAATAATATACCATGAATTTTTTCTAAAGAAGAAGAAAAGAAACTTGCCGATTTAATAAAAAAATAATGACAAGTCAATCACATTTTATAAAGCAAAAAAATCTCATATTTTTTTATCAATATGTAAGGCTTTTTGAGTAAAACGAACAAAAATTTTAAGAAATTCGTAAAATATCATTAAATGCATCAAAAGCTTTTTTCGACTTGGATCCGGTGAATAAAAATTTTCAGATCCGGACCCGAACCCGGTCAAAATCTAATTTTCAGACTCGGACCCGATCGGCTCTAACTCACACTCCAAGATTTAATTCCACATTGATCATACTCATTCGCTAAACGATATTCCATTACAAAAGTTTAATTATTATTTAATTTATTATTTATTCTCATATTTGTTTCTTATGTATTTTTTTTTTTAATAAAACACGCTCATTCATATATGACATCTTTTTTGAATATCCTCTATCACTCTTAATAAAGGTGTGTTTCTTAGCCAGTAAAATTTTTTATCTGTTCTGTCTTTGTTTACAGAAATATTGAGGATGTGCTTTATTCTGCACATGTACCATAAATCAAAAAAACGAATGTTGAAGAATTATTTTAGATGTGATACGAATAAATTCTAGAATAGTTTTTTCTAGACCGAAATCGAGACCAGAAAAACTAAAATCATCGAGACCGGGACCATAAACAATTATGATGCCACATATCTCTAATCTCGATATTTCATTAGTAATTTTATCCGTTTAGCAAATGAAATTTTTCATTGATTTATATTCTCGACAAGAAAAATGATTCATTAGGTTTTATTGATTATTTTATTTTAGATCTTATCAATACTAAGTTTTATTCTCTATTGTTTTCCAATCGAGATTTGTATATTTATTGAAGTGTCATTTTTATTTGTCTTTCGAATTTACATTTATTATTGTCTGGCTTTAGTTATGGTTAATTTCTATTCATGTCTTTTTTTCTAGGATTTGTACGAAAGTCATCGAAGAATTAGGTGCGAAACAGGGTTGTAATAATTTTGAGATATATTTCAGATGAGTGATCTTATCAAAAGTGATATTGAAAAAATTGAACAAGCTTTGAATATTTGTATTGATGATGTTGGTATTGATATACAATTAAATGATGGTAAGAATTCAAATTATTATTTTATAATACTATGCAGTTCAGCAAATCATTCAATCTGAGTGCTCAGACTTCAAAATTTGAATATGGATTTTTTTCTTGTTGTCAAATTAAAAGAAATTCTTTCGATTGTTTTTCTCTATGTATTGGCTAAAAATGGAAATTGTTTGAAATGGAAGATCAATCTGAAACGGACAGTAGTTGAAATATGTCGAATGATCTCGTGGATAAACGATTAAGATCAAATTCGTTTGTCTGGAGACATTCTTTTGAATTCTGTGTGTATGATCAATTCCTTACTTCGATTAGATCGGATTTAATCGAGTTCTTTTTTGATGTGAATCAAAACAGTCGCTTGACAAGTCCTCTATTTCTAAATGATGAATGAAGATTTGATCTAACCGAATCGTTCATCTTCAATTGAAAGACGGTCACTTGTTTTTTTTGAGAGGAGAGCACAGGCGAATCCAATGGAAAAATAAGTTCTTAACTAATTAGACATTGAAAAGCTTTGTTGCACTCAATAGTAAACTGAATCAATAATTTTATATTTTTAATAGGATATGGGCAATGTCTTTCAATGATATGTCTTGAAGAACAGATAAAACAAGGCAATATTGATTCATGTTATAGATCGGTTGAAAATTTGATTCCGATTGATCATCGAATTGATAAATCATCATTGATTCAATGTGCAGCAAAAGTCAATTTGTCTTATCAAAAGAATTTATTTGAATTATTGAAACATTGTCAATCGATTGTAATTATTCCATCATGAAGATAAAACTTTAAACAATATTGAATTCGAATCTATTTCAAAGGATATATCAAATCAATCAAGTCAATCAATCAACGAAATTATGCCAAGAGAAATCTTCGATACCAATCGAGATTCTCTTTCAATTAAATTCAAAGTAAATAGATCGATAAAATTTTATTTTGTGGAGCTCACATATATTTTCGAAGAAAATAGTCAGTGCAAGTTTTAAGTCGAAGCTTTTCAGCTCTCCCATCCTCTCACCACTACAAATACTTAGCTACGGGCCCTCATTACAGACCTTAGTAATCAGGATACCTTCCACTCCATTACAGACTTAAACAATCGAGAATTACAGGTCTGACGTCAGACTTTCCAGAGTTTTTTTCGAAATTGATCAAGTTATAAATTTGAAAACTAATGAATATCATTGTTTGTGAGTTGATTAATATATATAATAGCGTGTAAGATCTGCTGTAGACATCACGGATATGTAAAACAGACTTATTTGTCAATTACTTGAATGATTATAATAATAAGAATGTTAAATTAAGAAAAACGAATTTAAAAAAATGAAAAATAATGAGCGAATAGGAACACTGCAAACAAAAAAAGAGCATCCGTAGAAAAACTAAAAAATTTCTGTTTGAAATGCAGAAATTAGAGAAGTCCTTACTCTGATGATCGATTATCTTTCAAAACAACTGGGGTCTACGAGAGACTTTTCACTTTACGTATTTTGTGTTACTTTAATGAGGCTAGCGAACATGTGAGTTCCACATTTCAGCCCCAATGGGGCTGGGCTAACAAGCTTTTTTTATCGAATTGATTGAGAATGAAACGACTTTAGATGAATTCTCAATCGCTGCAAAATATTCGTCGAATGATTCAACGAGAAGAAAAAGCACGTCTAAGTATGCCAAGGATTTACAGTCAAGAAGATTCTATGATTTATTTACTCGTTTTCTTTTTTCAGGTTCTAAAGAAATTCTCAAAAAATTAATGAAAAATGTTGCACAAGAAATTCGTCAGAATAAACTCAATCAATTCAATAAAACGTAAGATTTTATGCAATGACATCGTTTTTAATTGATATAGTTTCAGTATTGAAATTCTACAAACATCAAAACATCGACAAAGTTCTCTTGTTGATCAACAAATCGAACTTATCAAAAAACTTATTGAAGAAATCAAGTAAAATATTTACTTATTTAAATTTGTCTTTTTTTATTTGAAATTTGAATAGAATTTTATCCGATCGAGATTTGATAAAAAAAGAAAATTCAGATGATCTTATCGATTGGACAAATCTTGTTCAAACAAGAGTAATGAAATTTTGATTATTTGCATTTGAATTTGTTTATTCCTATTGAATTAGATGAATAATGAATATACAAATGAATCTTGTCTGCATGCTTGGCAACAAATCTGTTTACCAACGATTTATTACGATCAAAATTGGTCTTCACAAGAGGATCAATTACTCAGAAATCTAGTCGAAACTTTTGGTCCATATGGTAATAATTGGAATTTGATTGCTTCACATTTCGTAAGACAATGATGATTCGCTTTTTTTTCTTATTCAAGGACGTGTTCTGGAATGGGCATCTTTTTTGCCCACTTTCTTTTCGACTTTTATATATTTGAAAGATGTCAGAGAGACACTAGAACTATTTCTTATGACTTAATTTTGCGCCATTTGAGAGTGAGATTTTTACTTCCTGTGATACACCCCACGATTCGGAAATTTTTTTTTGCTTCAAATATCCCCATAAGCATATCATTTATATGCAGTTTTACGCGCTGATTCCAAATATGACCTCAAAAATAGGAGAAAACTTGAACAACATGTTGACAACAGGTAAAAACCTGAAACAAGACCATTTTAGGGGTTTTATTTGCTCAATTTACACTTCGAAATCGCTTCGAATTTCAATTTGAATATCATATTCAGATCAGAGATCGTCATCAGGACAGGCCAAATTATTTTGTCCAGGTAAATTATGTACCAATTCTAAAGTTATAGATGTTTTGCTAATCAAAATTTTTAATCTTTTGTACAGTTACATGAGACATCGTTATAAGCTACCCATGTTTACATTTCATCCACTATTTCTCTTAGCAACAATCTTTACGTTTCGCTATTGGTTATCCTTTGTTTTCTGTGAATAGAATAGAGACCAGAAGTCGTCATTAGTATAGGGCACTCTGATACCTTGGCGTCGTGGTTTCAAGGCACGGCGAAATAGTTTGACCTGGTAACATTCTTTTAGCTAGTGATGATTACATGTTTAGATCGATTTCACTAGAACTTATGTATATGATACTCATTCTAATTCATCATCGTTCAATACGATTTTTTCGATTTCGAAGAGACTGAATACCTCTCTTATCAAATCATAAAAAAATGAATCTTGACCTGATGCTAAATAATGATGAAAATCTGAATCAATTAGATGATGATACTCAGTCAGAAAGAATCACTCTTTTTATTGACGGATATCTTGTTTTTGTATGAATATGCTTCTAGTGTCACGTTTCCATGCTAAAAAAGGCAAGATATTGGATTAACAAGTATTATTTCTTCATCAAGAATAAGTTGAAAAGACATCATTTTTACTCGATTATAATCTGATTTTTAGTCGTCAAGGTTGACCATTTTTATTGTCAAGCGTTTTCTTTTGAATTTTTTCTAATCGATCAAAAAGATTTGTCAATTTTTATTAATTAAAATTTATTAATGAATTTCACTCGAAAAAAAATTTGAAAAAATCCTAGAAACTAGAATAAAACAAAATAAAAGTTTAAAATCATATTATAATTGATTAAAAATTGCACAATTTCAGTCAACTTTTGTCGGGATTCATGATTGTTTTTATACATGGATAATATTCTTTTGAGATTATATAAAAAAGTATGAGCATTGAATGTAAACACGAACAAAATTTTTCATAAGGTTAACAACATTCTATAGTCGACCTCAATTTATATACCCTGAGAGTGTCCTGTCCTGTCCTGTCCTGAGGACAGACCAGAGCGAAAAAATTTTGGATGAGTTATTTTCAGTATAGGGCAGAGCGAAAAAAGTGCCCTGTGACAGTCTCGAATTCAGATTCAGCGGAGAAAACTGCATCTAATTATATACTTGATATAATTTTAGTGAACAATTTTGTGTCATTCGAAAAAGTTCGCCTGGGGCACCTCACAAGAGAAAGTCGAAAAGTAATACACTTCAAATTTGGTTCAAACGCCCGAGAACGAATCCGACTGAAGTTCTACCATCCTTCCCTACCGTTTCAAAGCTCCCTGTTAGTCTTTGGCCTACTTTTTAGTCATTCGATTTTTCAACTTTTTTCCGTCGGAACCTCAGACCAATTTTTTGTACGACAAAAAGTGCTTCACTAAAATCCTATCAAATATATAACCAGATGCAGTTTTTTTCCGCTGAATCTGAATATGATATTCAAATTGAAATTCAAAACAACTTTCGAGAGAAAATTGAGAAAATAAAGCCCTAAAATGGTCTTGTTTTATGTTTTTATCCATTTTCAACGTATTTTTCAAGGTTTCTTCCATTTTTTAGGTCACTAAGAATCATCATTAGAAACTGCATCGAACTGTAGATATGGCTATTTCACATCTGACTATTTTTTAGTGGCAAAAGGTCGCAGAAAATGATGAATTATGGCTTGCTGTGAGATATTTCTAAATGTATGAAACATTTCGATTGCTTTTAAAACTGAATTGACTTAGAACGAATAAAATAAATATTGTTGCATATTTCGGCATATTTTGGAAAGAAAAAAAAACAACGTTCTATTTATAAATAGCCTAATATATGAAAAAATCGCTCTATAGTCCATTTAACGGTAAAATGCTTTTGTCATACATTAAACTCAATCCAATCGAAATGTAAATTTGATATTCGCAATCAGCACGCAAAACTGCATATAAATGATATGCTTCTGGGGATACTGGGGAAAAAACGTTTTTTTTTCGAATCCTGGGGATACCACAAGAGGACAAAACCTCTCTTTCAAATGGCGCAAAACTAAGTCATAAGAAATACTTCTAGTATCCCCCTAACACCTCTCAGATAGATAAAAGCCAAAAAAACTGTGAGCAAAAAATGCCTATTCTGGGATATACCCTTTACTATGTCACTTAAAATTATTTAATGAAAACTGAAAATCTTTGCTTTTTTAAAGTCTAATCTCACAGAACTTTCTTCTATTGTTAAATTCTTACTTTAAAAAGAAAAAAAAGTTAATGAGTGGAATCATATTTCAAAAATGAAATATTCGATTTTCCTGATGATATTTTTCTATCTCTTCCTTAATACAGAGAAATACTTTTCCAAGAAAAAAAATAATAAATCGATCCTGATTTTCTATCGGACAATTTGCTAAATCTGATATTGGAATAATATCGATGGCCCTTTGTAATCAACATTCTTTTCCACTTGGATAAAATTATTTTTTTCTTCATCTTTTTTATTAATAAGAAAGAGAATGACTATTTCGCCGATAGTTATTTAAATTAAATGAAAACAGTCATTTTAAAACAATTTTAATTCACTCAAATGTTTTGTTTGTTTTATTAGAGAAAAAGAAATTGAGCAATCCTTTTAGAAACAATTCAATTAATTTCGAGATTTTCATTATCAATATTATAGATAGATATTTCAATCGAGAAATCGAATTCGAAAACATTCGAAGACTTCACGGATATGCCTTTGACTAATTTTCCGAAAAATTATTTTGTCCAACTGTTTACTCAAATACTGTTTGAATATGTGTGCAAGAGAAATCAGGTAGTCGTTTATGATAAAACCAACCTTCAAGTTTATTCGTCTACTGTTGTTAAACATAAAAAAAAATGATTAGAGCCCAATTAAATCTCGTTCTAAGCAAAAGATCACAAAAAATGAGTGTCGATCAGAATCCATTTTTGAAGTTTAGTTTTTGATTTTTTTTTCGCAAGTCGTTATTTTCATATATGGAAGAGTAATCGAAATAAAATTCTCCTAATTTTGATTTTTGTTTCTTGTTTAGCCTCAACGTTCAACATATTTATGTGCAAATCGTTTTATGTTTTTGGAAAATAATCGTTTAAATAAACTGTAAATTAATTATTATTTCATTATTTTTTTTCATAAAATAAATATCATTGAATAGATTTTATTTTTTTCTCTTTTAAGAAAATTTTCAAATGATGAAATCAATCAATTAAAACAAGTTATTCAAGAATATCGAAATGAAAATTATATTCCATTAAATAAAGGTAATAGAAAAATAAATGATTATAAAACAAAAAAATTCATTTTATTGAATTTTATGTTCAAACTAAAGTTGCTTATGAACTTGGTTGTAGTCTTTCAAGTGTTCGTCGTGAATGGAGAAATATTGATCCAAATGTTCGACGAGGTCAGTGGAATAGAAATGAAGATAATGTAAACAATTTTAAACTCGATTTGATGTTTACCTTGAACCTGTTCTTGGAATTTAGATTCTTCTTGAAAGTGTTTTCAAACAATCAAATCGACAAAAAATAAATTGGAATTTAGTTGCTTCCGATGTTACTGGTCGTTCTAAAACAAAATGTTTTCAACGATATCTTATTTTAACAAAAAGAACAACAAACAAACCATTTCAACCTTTCGATGATCAATTTGTACTCCAACAACATCAAATTAAAAATGATAAAAAACAAAAAAAATTTTCCTCAATTTCAAAAGAAACTCAAACATAGATTAACAAAGAAAAACTCGATTAAAATTGCTCGTGTTTTGTTTTTGCGAAAAATTTTGTTCTATCGAAAATGAAAATATTTATCATTTGAATATATATTTTGAAGGTCATTACTCTAGCGGTGCAACAAATCCAAGGCCTTGAGATTTGGTATACAAAAGTTTGAACTTGATTTAGACTTAGATTTTGGGTTTGGATTTAGTCTTAAATGACCCAAATTCGACGAGGCTCTGTAAGATAAGGTATCATAAGGGTGCAAAGAGCCCAAAGTCTTCGAAAGTGATATGAAATAGTTTGGATTTGATATAGACTTGAGTTTAGATTTGGCTTGAGTCTAAAATAATCCGAACTCTAAGGATTTTAGTAAGATCAACTGCAATCAACGATAGATTCTTCGTAGTTTCTCAATTCCTCTATCACTTATTTATAAATGTGGATATTAGAAAAGGTTGTACGCTTGGGTAAGCGGTAAGAAAAATGTTTTAGTGCGATTTTAGTTACCGTTGTTCTTTCAGACTTTTCGCTAAGTATAAATGCTTTGCATTTGTATACTTTTACCTACTCTAAAAGGTTTGTATTTGTTCAACGACTGTAATCAAAACTCTGATCAAAAAGATATTATATCCATTTTTCTTTAGAGCTCCTAAAATATCCAAAGCATTATCTTGCTGTGTTCTTGTAGATACAAGTAGTCTATCACAATTGTATAATATCAAATATAAAAACTACAAATTAACGCGATTTTTATACTATTACTGTGTCTTCATACGACAAGAAACTACTTTTCGATTTCTTATAAAAAATGATTTGGTTGACATCTCAGAAAAATTTCGTTCAAATAAGACCAGTATATGTAAGCTATAATGTTGCTTTAATGGCATGCTATTTTGGATATATAAAACGAATTGTTTCAAAACGAAGAAGAATATAAAAAGTGTCATCAAGAATAGAGCTGGCATTTTATCTTTATTTTACTTTGAAAAAGTAAAGTAAAGTAGGTCTACTTTACCTGAAAAGTAAAGTGAAGTGAGTATCTCTACTTTACCGGGAAAGTAAGGTAATGTAAAATAAGATAAACTAAAGCATGTGGATGTTTATTATTAGGTATGCAGGGTGTAGGTGTGGGTGGGTGGGTGTGAGTTATAGTATTTTTGTGAACTAATCCACACCCACACCCACACCGTTTTGTTTTTAAATCTGGCGCTCATAAATTATATTTCAGTTGTAAAACAATATCAAAGAACAGTGATGAATAAGGTATATTATTGGTATTTAGTGTCGAAAATAAACAATCATCTGAATTTATTCGAAATCATTGTTATAGAGCTGGGTTTAATGCATTGAATCTCTAAGTTTTTGTTATGAAGAAACGAAAATTAACTTTTTAGATACGATTATCATCAAATCTATTTCGCTTAAAGTCTTGTAATGTATCTTTCAATTGATTGAAATCATCTTGATTTGAATTTATTAAAGATTCATTGACATCATATATATGTAATTTTCCTTGATCATCGCCTAAAATAATTCGCTGACCATTATGTGACCATAAACACTTATTCAAAGCAACATTTCTATCTAGTGTTGTACTTAATAACGGTAATTCCGAATCATAATTTAAATTCCATATATCAAAACGACCAGTTATATCACATGTTAAAAATATACTTGGATGTACTGGTGACCAATGTACATCAGTAACATAATCATTATTAACTTCAAACGAATGAAGTGATTTAGATTCTTCTAATGACCATAATTTAACACTCCAATCAAATGAAGATGTTAAGAATAAGGATGAAAAATCAATGGAACCATTTACATTGTGACAACTCAAACCTGTAACGGGTCCAAAATGTCCTTCGTAATTACTTTGAATGCCTGCTTTATTTCCATGTCTTGAACCAAAATAAGCTTGCCCATCTTCACTTCCAATAATAAAATGATTAACTTCATTAATAGGAAATGCCATACGCATTGCCGCGACAGGTTTTGTTTTATATGTTAAATCGATACTTTCTTGTGGTTGAGTCATCATTTCAATATTCCATGAACACATTTTTCCTTCAGTTGATACTGAAATTAAATTATTGGCATTTTGTGTACCAATTACTTGTAAACCATAAACAGGATGCGTATGTGATAATATTGATGAAAATGTATGTTGTACAGGTGTTCGTTTATTTGATCGAGTATCCCAAACAACAATTTGACCACTATAGGTACCACCTAAGAGGATATTTGGATGAAATTTACTAAACACACATGATGTTATCGATGATTGACAATTGAATACATACTAGAAAAATTTCAAAATTATTCATTATGGTCTGAAGAACTGAGAGGTTCTTACTTCAGGTGTTGGTTTTGATTTGAATTTAGAATTCCAAATAAGTGCCACACCATTTGATCCACCTGATGATTTGGAATTCTCAGAATATGATGCAAGAATTAATTCAGGATGATAAATTGATGTGTCAATACATGTAACAAGGCGATGATGTGACCAATCTTCATCAAAATATTCTCGATCAAATTTAATGATGTCTTTCATATCCATTCTTCCCTTTTGTCTATCTAAATCTTTTCTACTATAGTCTTTAACAATATCATCAACTTTTTGAGTTTCCCGTAACGAACGCTCAATTAAAAGTGATGTACGAGAAAAAAAATCTTGAAATTGTGCACTTTGTAATATTCGTTCACGTTCATCATTTGTTAATTCATCTTTGATTGATGATGATGATGATGATGTTTGAGATTGTAAACTTATTTGTTTATTTTGTTGTTTAAGTGAATTTGTAAATTCGTATTCTGATATTGATTGTTGACATTCATCATTGGATTCTGTGTCATCTTGTTCAGTTGGTTCAATTGTTTGTACTATTTTTGAATAAGTAATTAATTCTTTTGGTGGTATATTTATTGTTGCTGATGGTTGTCGACATACTTGTAACGAAATATTTGTGGATGGTCGAAGCTTTTGTTGCAATGACGATGGTGATTTTGTTGATAAAATATCTGATGAACTTGCCAGTGATGATGTCGATAGCATCATGTCAACTTCTTCGAATATTTTATTCAGATCAGTCATTTCTCTCGATATTGTTAATAGTTTTGTTGTTTGTAATCTTTCTTCTCGCCTATTTTTCAATTCAGCTGCTTTAGCTTCAATTTTTGCTTTGAGTTGTTCGCGTGACATTGTTTATTCTTACTATAAGAAAATAAATCTGAAAGTAGAAAAAACACAGCATATATCGAAAGAACATCTGTATGAATTCGTGAAATAATATATTTGTTGTATTTTGTAATATCATACGACACATGTGCAATTATTTCAATATGAAACAGAAAAGGTAGGAGTATGTTAACGTGCATGACGTAAAAAATAAATGGGAATATTTTATTACGGTATTATGAGTCATCCGATATGAGTCATGGAATAATTCACACTACTCGTGGGAGAAATCGACAAATAATACGCATATGAAGAGAGATAAAAATGACTTTACTTATGTTTTCTTGAAACACTTCATTCATTTGGTAGCACATATTCATTTTTTTTTGAGAGTTTAGGATCAAAAAAGTAAATCAGAGCGTAGCTCAGAAACAGTAGATGTTGTGTACATTTTATTTCTGCTTGATGCACCTGCTATTGAAAACACTGAGACCATCTGATTCTTTTGACACATTGTCTTTACATGATGTACACATAAGAATTGACATGAGAGCAATTCAGATATCATAGGGTGTGGGTTGGTCAGTACATCTTCTTCACCCACCCACCCACACCCACACCCACTCCGGAGTTTTGGAATAATTCACATGTCGTTTGAAGAAATGAATACAGAAGATAGCGCTAGCTCACTCGGTGAAGTGAGTTCTCTGGATGACGATCTTGATGCAATGTATCTTGAATCTGACGATTCTAATGAAGAAGGTACTGATGATAGCATGGATTCACCTACTTGGAATGAAATAGAACCAGAATCCGACGCAGAATTCCTGGAGGATCATGGACTCATCGAAGAAGTAACTTCTATTTCAGGCGATAATACAATCAATCCTATCGATTGCTATCGGCATTTCATTACGGACGAAATTATTGACCTCATAGTTCGTGAAACTAATCGATGCGTGCAGCAATACTTGCAAAACCATGAGATTAGTAAACGGTCAATACTTCATCAATAGAAACCAACGACTAATGAAGAGATGCTGAAGTTCTTTGGAATCATTATCGAAATGGGGTTGGTACAAATGCCAAAACTGAAGTACTACTGGAGCAGTAGTCAATTGTATGGTTCAGACATCATTCTAAATGCTATGTCGAGGGAGAGATTCGAATTACTACTCAAATTTTGGCATTTTTCGAATAATGATAACAAAAATTCGAATCAAAAGAGGCTTTCCAAGTTGAAACCACTCTTGAATTTATTGAGAGCCAGATTTTCGTCAGTATATATACCTGGTTCGGTTGTGACTATCGACGAAACTATGATACCATGGCAAGGCAGGCTTTTCTTCAAACAATATATTCCTGGAAAAGCGCACAAGTACGGCGTAAAAATGTACAAGTTAGCGGCTACCAATGGATACATCTGGAATTTTGTGATCTATACTGGTCAACAAGATCCTATGGCAGGTCTTGGACATGCCCAAACAGTCGTGATGAATCTATTGGATGGTCTTGAGGGATGTTGTCGAACCGTGGTAGCTGACAACTTCTTTACCAGTATTCCTCTTGCAAAATGTTTGTTAGAAGATGATACGTATCTTATTGGAACACTGAGAAGTAATTGTGCAGGATCAGGCAGCGAAGTTGTTCAAAAAAAATCTTTGATGTGACGAAGTTTATGGACTGCAGAATAAAGACGGCGTAAAACTGATCATATGGAAAGACAAAAAAGATGTCTTGATGGTATCCACAAGGCCGTCGCATTCAGCAACTATGGTGGATACTGGAAATACCAATAGTAAAAATGAACGCATCATGAAGCCACAAGTTGTACTCGATTACAATGAAGGAAGATTAGGTAGTGATTTATCTGATCAGCTATCATTCTATTACGCGTGTCTCAGGCGGTCAATAAAGTGGTACCGGAAGGTAGCATTTGAATTGCTTTTCGGGACGGCAATAGTCAATAGCTATTTGATATACAAAGAAAACTACGCCGCAAGCAAAGTAACCATTCTGCACTTTCGTGAAAGTCTTGTTCGATCTTTACTACTTGGTATGTCGTTCGAGAAGCTGAAGCCGGGTATGAAACAGAAACCAGCTGCCCAAGCAAAACGTAAGCTTGCTGATCACAAGCTTGAAGAAAAAGAAGGTTCTGCTCGCGATGTCCGAAGACGCTGTGCTGGCTGCTATGAGAAAATTAGGCAACACCAATCAAGAGAAGTAAGCCTGGCAACAGCAAAAAAAATAAAAACCTTTTGTTCTGATTGTCACAAGTTTTTTTGTCTTGATTGTTTTAACAAGAAACATTTAGCTATAAAATAAATGATCCAAAAATAGCTATGGCAAAGCAGAAAGCACGTTTTGTGTAAGGTACAGCCTAAGAACAAGGAGAGAAAGTGCTTTCCTCTTTGGTTTCTTGAGAATACACAATGCGACCCACCGGTGGGTCTCATCGGGTCGAATGGGTTAAGATCATATTTTGTGATCGTTTTTTTTGTTTTTTAAAGAAAACAATATGATAAGATAATAAAACTTTGGTTCGACAAACAAATGTTAATCTAGAAATCTGACTTGAAAAGACTTTTTTTGTTGTTTTGATAATGACATTCGAAATCAGCACTATTGATAATCTATAATCAACTAGTTTTCACTCAGAAAGCGGTTTGATAGATAAACAGTTTCTTGACTAGCTTTTATTTGCAGGAGAAATAATAAAAAACTGGATGACAAAAAAATTTTGGACGTTTGCTCGAATGAAAACAGTTTTTATATGATTTATGCTGTAAAATTTTCGTGTTTCTTTAATGTACGACATAATATTAACTTGAATAAAAATTCTTGTTTTTAGTCTGTGATGAGATTTATAGCAGAGATGTGCGGTCCACGGGGTTCCCCCCGCGGGCCCCGCGGGGCCACGTGGCGACGGGCGGGCGGGGAAGAAAAATTTAATTAAACGCGGGATTAACGGGGCACGGTTATTTTCCGGCACACGGGCGGGCGGGGCGGGGAATAATTTTTTTAAATGACACGGGTCTCGGGCGGAGCGGGTATGAAATACACGGGTTCGGGCGGGTAAACATTTGTTTTCGGGTGTGATGAAAGATCGTCAAAACTTATCACGGGATGTCCTTAGTATAGGTATGTAGTACAAAGTACATATTGATTGGATCATTACTTTCATCCTATTATGTACAAGATTGTCTACCATTTGTTTGTTTCTTTCTTTCTTTATCGTCTGTCATACGCAACTTCTACTATCAATTTATATTAAGTGAATAACTGGACTAAAACTTATTTTATATTTAGAATTATCGTTTGAATTTGTTGTGAATTACTACTTAGGTCTGACCAAAAGTTTTGACAACATTATATAAAAATATAAAGATAAGGAGGTATCTTTAATTTTATTTTATCAAATTTTGAGGACAGTTGCCAGAGGTATGTTCAGATTTCCGAAAAAGGAAATTACAGAAATTTCCGAAGCTTCCATCAACTCGATAACTACATAGCAAACCAAATGAAAATATTTTGGAAATATTGGAAAGTTTAGAAATTTTAGAATTTTCTGTAATTTCGGAAATTTCGCTATGTGTAGAATTTTGGAAATTTCAGAAATTTCGGAAATTATATAATTTTGAGAAGTACCAAACAATTTAGAACACAAGTGCTTGAAAATTCCAAAACTTCCGAAATTTCCTTTTCGGAAGTCTGAACACTGCTGAGGTATCATGGATACCGCATGAGCTAATCATATTTTATTTATTGTGAAAAGTTAGCAAAATCTTGTTCGATCATATCAGTTGCATTCTAGTACTGCTAGTGATGAGATATAGATTTATTTTAGATAGGTTAGTCATAAGTTATCCGATGCTGGCTGGCTTATTGAAGATGAATCGTCAAAGACTATTTTTCATGAATAAAGATGTTAGAAAATGCTTTGTTTGGTATATTCTTTAAATCAAATACTCCTGAATGTAGATAAAGGCAAGACTGTAAGTCACAAGTATTATACTGAAAACTCTCCAAAACATTTTATTAATGAAATATGGAAACAAACAGAGACATCAGGTTCAAAATGTACAAAATCGATTGACGGTCATCGTTGACTTCATACTCATCTAATGTTATTAATTGCATGACAGAAGAAGGCATCAATATGATATCATATCTATCATATTCGCCAGGCCTGATACTATGTAACTTTTCGCTAACAAATTCTATTAAATGTAGTTTAACTGATTAAATAAACGAAACATGATAAGCCCATGCGATATCTAAAAATTTTTTCGAAAAAAACTTTTAACAAATTGTTGCAAAGGATCGAACTTGGTATAAATAATCATGGCAACTGTCCTCAATATTTGATAAAATAAAATTAAAGATGCCTACTTATCTTTATATTTTTATATAATGTTGCCAGAACTTTTGGTCAGACCTAAGTATGATCGAATTACATGATTTACCTCCTGATGAATCACTTGATAGGATAGCTTCGTCGAATACTGACCGTTCATCTACAATTATTTCTTCATCTTTCAGTCATTGCTCATCGAGTAATATTAAATGTAATTCGTCCAATAAAAAAATGTTTTTAAAAGAACAACCAGAAAAATACGTGCTTGTCGACAATCACAAAGTGAATCATTCAAAACCATCTCATATAGGCTTGAGTTTTGTTTTTGTAAAAAATGATTATTCATAAAAGGAATGCATCATTAAAAATAAAGTATTTGGTAAATAAAAAATTCTTCGGGTTACACGGGGACGGGTCGGGGCCCGTCACAAAAATGGCGGGTCGGGCGGGCCGGTTCAAGAAGCTGCCTGTGCGGGGTACGGGCGGAGCGGGTATAGATTTGCCGGGGCACAGGCGGGGCGGGGATTCTCAAAAAGAATATCCACGGGGTTCGGACGGGACGGGTTTGTGAATTTTACGGGGCGGGGCAAGGAAAATCAATGCCCCGCACATCTCTGATTTATAGTATTGTTCGTTGGATCACTTAGTTCATTGTCTATGTTGGTAGGTATATTCAAGAGCGTATTGGTCTGCTGTAAATTCACGTTCACAGATTGATCTGTCTCAGCATGTGCCATTGAAGACGTAAATATTTGCTGTTGCTGTCGTCTCTCAGATTCTTGTTGAATCATATTTTGTTGCATTTCAGTCGGTATACCTGGATTAAGACTTAATGCATAAGGTAAAAGTGTTTTTGGCATATCACCAAAATCAATCATCACTTTGATAAACATTGCATCATCACGAACATATGGATTATTATCATGTTGTATGAATGTTAGAGGAACAAATTTTGGTATACCACTTGCAATATTCATGTCTGAACGTGGTCGTTGAAAACTAGCCGATTTGATATCTGGTCGAAATGAATCAAGAAGATGACGTTGTTGAGCACTTTGATCATAAAGACAAAATGTTACTTTATAATGAAATGGAAATTTTAGAATAGCATCATATTGACCACGCATAAGGACGAAAAATAATGACATATGTGTTCGACGAGCATTACCATCACCATTTAAATAGAGACGAGTACACATTTTATAACCTGTTGTGGAGGAATAAAATGCTGCAGAATAAATCGATGTTTGTCTTTCAGATTGAGCATTGACTGAACAAACAAATAAAACTTTAAAAAAATTCCTAAATAACTTAGTCATACTCTAAATGTGTCTTTTGAATACTTATAAATTCTGGAACACACAAGCAAGACCGTCTCATTATTGATTGGAAAAGGATCTAAGTAATATTTATCTACTGATGGCAGATCTAAACAGAACATCATTGATCGAACAAATATCAATGCAATATTTTAAATCGTTATCATCGCAAATCTTGATAAATAAGTATGAAATATTATTTTCTCAGACATTATAATAAAATATTTTATTAAATGTAAATATGAAAAAACTATTCATCAACAAAATCTGGATAAATAACAATATAAATTATGATAACTATGTAGACATTTACTCAATAACCAATGAGAATTTTCAATCATTTTTAATTAAAATTGTAAACTTAGTAAATATAGTCAACTACTAAAAATCTTTTTTCTGATTGAAAAATTAACTTTTCAAGCTCTAAAAATGAGTTCCATATATCCAACAAATATTATTGTTACCTTTTACATAATTTGAACGTTCTAAGAAAAGTATACTAAACGAGAACTCTTTTCAACCGATGTTGATTATAATGTCATTTCTTCCTGTTAAAACTATGGAATGTACCTGAAAATGATCAAACAGATAGTGAAAAATAAAATCAATCAGGAAAACCTTTTTTTAAGTCAAATCAAACTTGATATGATCAGCTTTGATTTACAGGAAAACAAAAGCTCCTTCAGCTAAATAAAAACATATGCTGACTCATTTTTTCTTGTACATTCGTTATTTTCCAAACGAATGTTCCATCATAAGAACTCGTTTTCATATCATTAATTTTTTGTTCCATAGATGCAAGATCTTGTTCAAGAACTTGTTGATTCATTTTCACACCATCGAGAAAATTATTCTGTTCTTCAATTGAGACTTTCAGTATTGATAAGTCTTTCGTCAAAGGATCCAATCCATTTTTATGAGAAATAGATTCAATGAAAAGACGTTGTATATCATCATTTAATGTTTCAATACCACCTGATAGAAGGTTAATCATCTCATAGAATTCTTCTAATTGAATTCTATCGTTTTCTGTCGTATAAGAAAGATCAATTGTCATTTGTGACGAGATTTCGGATTGTTTATACATAACATTTGGTAATATTGGTGTCAAATGACGAACAATATTCATGAATATTTTTTGATGTTGTTCACTAAGATAATGTTGACAAAGATTAATACGAAGAATCTAAATAAGAAATTTTATTGCATAAAAAAAAAAAGAAAAGAAAAGATATATGAATGTACCATTTCTTCACATCCAAATTGTTTTAAAGGACAATAAACAGTGATTTTTTCACAATTATATTGTTTGTGTCGATCAAGATCACTGATTGAAGAAAATTTTTCATCACAATACTTACATATTGGATTTGGATGAATTTGATCAAGATGATCCTCAAATATAAATACAATCAATATAGATCAAAGAAAAAAAATATATTTTACTTGGTAATTTTTTAATATATCAGTCCAACTACAAAGTGAACATACAATCGATAAGGACTGCATATCATTTTTAAAACCACGATCGATTATTAACTAAAAGAGAAAAAGAGTTTAATTGAAAAGAAAAATGAAGATCTTACTTTGTTTCGAGATATTTTATCACGACATTCTGAACATGTGATTATATCGCTTAAGAAAATAAAATAAAATAAAATATTAAAAAACACCATTAATAATATACATTATTTACCTTTCTTGTTCATTAATACATGATTGACAAAAACGATGACCACATTCAGTTAATTGCACAGGATCTCGTAGTAACAAAGAACAATGTGAGCAAATATACATAGAATTCAAAGATTCTTCATTTTCTACATTAAAGCCAACCATTTTTTTTCTATACTCTATAAGAAATGATGGATGTCATTAGAATAATACATCACGCGAAGAAATATATTTTTAAATATTTGTCAAAGAATACAATCGTCATAATATTGGTCAACTAGTACTGTTTTAATTCCTATTCCTAACAAATTCCTAGTTAAAATACGATTAAAACGAAGAAGAATATTAGATTAGTATGAACTAGAAATAAAAAGGTATAGTGCACGCATGGTGAAATTCAACTAAGGTTTTTCTTTTTATTATCCATGGTTCGATAGAGCTTAAGCTGCTGATTAAGAAAAATTGGGTTTTAGTTTTTATGAATAGCGTTTTCTGGTGAAAAAAATCCAAAAATCGAGAAGAAGTAGCTTGTTTTGCAAAAAACACATATTATTTTCAATTATTGGCGGTTTTTTGTTCTGCTGCTGTGACTAATTTTCTAATTTAGCGTTAAAAACTGAGTACAAATACGCTTTTACATAAAATCTCATCGTAAAACTGTGCTGATGCTGGCGATCCAAATTCGTAGTATTCGCATGTTTACAGGGCATTTTTGTAAATTTATCTAGTTTTTTTTGTGTAAGTGGTGAAGTGAAATATTTTATCTCATTTAATTCATCATAGAATCAGTCACAAAGTACACATTGCTTTTTTTTTCTTTGTTGAGAAAACCCATTTTTCCTATATTCTGGTGCAAATAAGTAGAACTCTATCCATAATTCTCAATTTTCTTCATGAAAACTAACCTTTTATGTAATAAAATAATCATATTCGAAATCATCGTAAAAAACTGAGTCGGTTGATGTATGTTTCCAAACTTTTCGTCACCTTTCGTTTTTGATCTCGGTTTTTGGATTTTTTTCATCTGAAAACGCTATTCATAAAAACTAAAACCCAATTTTTCTTAATCAGCAACTCAAGTTCTATCGAACCATGAACAAAAACAAAAAGAAAAAAGCTTACTTGAATTTCATCCTGCATGCACCTTACATAAATTGTTTCATCGATCGATTGGTCAAAAATATGTATCAAGATCGATTTTATCTTTGTAGCTACCTCTCATGATCGAAACCTACTTCACATTTACGAACAATTTTATGACTGTATTTATTTCAAATCAATAAATCATTTTCTCATATTTAACAATTGATCAGTTTTTTGTTTATCTTTTCTTTTCGAAAGAATAATAAATAATCTAGATGGTCAAGTAAATTCTTTATTTTCAAAAATAAAGAATAACAAAAAAGAGATTTCTTTTTATGGTAGATAAATAGACAAACACCTAGTATAACAACAGGATATGTTAATCAATATTCTTTCTTATCATCAACGTCACTTCGATATGTAATATTATTAAAAAATAAAACTAATACATGAAAAAATATATTGAAAAAAACTTTTCTGTATAGTATATTTGTATATATGGTATGAGAATTTTTTGTGAGCTACTTAATGATATTTAAAAATTAGATTCTCATAGCAAAAAATTTTCTTTATATTTATTCTTTATTATAAAGAAAAATAAAAATAAAGTAACATTCCTATTCAAGATCAAAGAACCTTGTAAATCAGTTCACCAAAACTAATCTATGACAATGACTAATATAAATACTTTTTATCAAATGTTATCTGAATTAGATCAAAATTTGAATTCTATTTATTAAATAATTCATTCAGACAATAAATAATTTCTTGTGTCTAAGAATAATATATATTTATTTAAAAATGTAACGTCAAATGTACTGAACGATTGTGACAAGTAAATGCGCTATATGAATACAAAATCTCAATTAATTGCTCAGAAATCCATTTGAGATTGATATAAAATCGTATCAAAAGATGCTAATAATATCAATTATTTGTGATGATTCATATTCAAAAAAGGAAAATTATTATTAAGACAATATCTCGATTATGCCAATGTGGAAAATGAGATCTTGGAAAAAAAATTCTTGTCAAGATAATCATTAATTTATTACGTATGAAAACTTACCCTTTTCTATTAACCCCCCCCCCCCCCCGCAATAAAAGACCCAGGGTCTTCTATTATGTTTTAGCGGAAAAGTTTTTTAGCGGGTCTTGTATTATGTCTCTCGTATTTTTGCAATTTTATTGAACTCACGTATATTTTCGAAGAAAATAGTGAATGTAAGTTTTAAGGTGAAGTTTCGCAGCTTCACCAACTCATCCTCTACCATAGCGACTAGATGGTGAGAAAAAAATACATTATTGTCTACCTTTCCATAACAACCAGAAATGGTATGTAATTCATCTCCATGGCTATAGTATTTCGAAATTCTGTAAATTCTAATTCCTGGTATAAATATTATGTACTTAATTTTTGTAGAACTTATGTAAATTTCCGATGAAAATAATAGTGAATGTAAGTTTGAGTCGAAGTTTTTCGGCTCGCCTACCCCTCCCCCGTTATATGTCGTAGCAATCACTTTGATTTAAAAGGTTCTAGAAACTTCTAGAATCTTCTTTTAGATCTCAATCGTTCGAATATTTTTATGAATATTCGCAAAAAGCCAGCCTCCTTTTTTTGCACAGATAGAAGATTCTACGATCCATTTCAAACATAATCTTTTGATTTCTCATAACCTTAGTATGACTAAGACAAAAGTGTGATCGAATTACTTTCTAACTTTCAGGAATATTTAGTTTCTGTCTTACTCAGTACATTGAGATGCCTGAAAGATTGTTAAGATCTGGAAAAATGTAATAAATGCCCATAGTAAGCTTATTTTTTTTCATTAAATTAAAGTTTTGAATCAAATACTATGAAATAATGAAATCTTGATTAAAAAAGGAATAATATATTGCGAATGGCAACCAGAAAAACCAGCGTGCATTAGAAAAAAAAATCTGCTTGAAATGTACAAATAGAAATTGTTACAAATTAATCATTATTAGCGATGTTTCTTTAGAAATTCAATATTTTGTGTCTGTTGTATTAATATTATAAAGATTGATAAATGGTGCGAGGGTGAAGGGAATAGTTTGAAATACATAAGTTTCGTTGTAATAAAGTTTTACAGCGTATATTTTAACTCAAATGATAAAATTAATTTTAATCTATCCATTTATTTGACAATTTTTGAAAACAAACTTTTTCAAATTTTTTTGATAACCCTAGTGAAAGTACTGAGTTCAAGGTACCCAAAAGGGTACCCTATTACCAGTATGTCACAGGAACTTTCGAGTACTTCAGTGCCTTAGGGTACTTTTTGGGTTTTTTGCTACTGACTCCAGAATGCTTCTAGATGTTCAATCGGCTAATATATTGAAAAATTTTTCATACAGTACTATAGAAACTGAATAAGTACTCAATCAGGTACCTGATCAGTACTAGGTACTGAGACAAATCCCAGCAGGGTATCCGACCAAGTTCCTGTGACATACTAGTAGCAGGATACTTTTTCGAGTACTCTGCCGAAAATCGCCTCAGTACACGGATATCTTGAACTCAGTATATTCTCTATGACATACTGTAAATTTATAACAGTCTGAGTCCCATGGGTTCTACATTTTAGTCCCACAGGGGCTGCACTGATAAGTTTCTTAATTAAAAGAGATTTCTTACAGAACGGAAGCGATTTTGAAGATTTGAGAACAAATGTCCACAATTTTCAACGCTCCAATATAGAACTGAACTCATCGGTTTGAAATTTTCAGCTCAAAACCTCCCAAACCAGACATATTTAGGTGTAAAACCACTAATTAAAGTCCTGAATTTTCAAAAAAATTATCAATTAAACGGGGGAGCGGGGGGAGGTCTTCTATTACGTGGGACAAATTTTTTCCCAAAGAGATCTTCTATTATAGGGGGGGGGGGGGGTTACTATTAGAGTCAAAATAATATAACTTATCCAAAGAATTTTATGAATTATATTAATATTGTAATAATTCTTTACAATACACGCATTTTTCAATCAAAAAAAAGAAAATATATATTATAAAGCACTAAATCAATTTGAACTAAATGTCTTATACGAACCAGAAGAGAAAAGTTGTGAAATAACATCGCCTATTTCACCAACTTATATAGAAAAAAAAGAAAAATAAGAGAGAAGAAAGAGAAAGAAAAATGAGAGAATAGAGAAAAAAGAAAGAGAATCGACTAGATGAAAAAGAACAGAACCGGGAAAAAACCAACTTAAGTGCTTTTGCGTTTGTAATAATACGTCTTTCATATATCATATCTTGATGTTATACGTATCTACTCTAACTTATATGAGTGAATTATGATCGTATAGTACCGTTGCGTTCCGAACACGAAAATACTTATATCTCAGGTTCTACTCAATGGAATTGTAAAATTTTTTTGAAATAATCCTTAATGTCTATCCTACTTATCGTAAAAATATCAAGTCTTTTAGCCATTGCCGCTGTGGGTTTTTCAAGCAAGAAAGATAAAAAATCAGTGCTTTTTTGGGTGTGGGTGTGAGTATAGGTATGGGTGTGAGTGTGGGTGTGAGTATGGGTGTGGGTGTGGGCGGGTCTGGGTGTGGGTAGTGTGAGGGTGTGGGTGTGAGGGTGAGGGTGTGAGGGTGAGGGTGTGGGTGGGTGTGGATATTATTTTCTTCTACACCCACACCCTTTAGCACTCAAGCAGCATATGTTGGTGATTTTCTATATAAACTTTCGTCTTTTTTTAATTATCAAGCATATCCTCGTTCAGAATCCTATACAAAAAAAGTTGGTGAATGAGAGAATCTTGAGGATGAGGGTGTCAGGATCTTCTGTTGATTCTTACCCTCACAGTTTGAGAGAGAAATTTCTTTATTCGATTTTTGTATCTATACAAAACAATTTTAAAACTTTAAAATGTATTCAATGGATAGACAACTTTTAAATATCAAGAACTATTACAAAAAAGAAATAAGCTGAAAAAGGTAAGCAGTTCTATTAGAAGAATATATAGATGAATTATTTCTATAGATATTCATTTGTGGAAATAATAGAAAATATTTCTTGTTGAAAATTAAACAACACGTTTGTATAATTGAGTTCCTTTAACATTTCCACATTTCATGTTCTAATAATAGAATATATGTTTTATTCTTTAACTACATAAAAACTTACGACTTCTAACTGATCTTGATCATTGATCCATCGTTCTACAAACATTTCTTTTCCATTTTTAAAACGCACTCTTTGAATCCATTTTCCATTTTCAAATTGAATAATCATCTAAAAAAAAAAGAAATTCTAAAATGTGAATCAGATGATTAAAAACTAGTCAAACGGTTATTTGTTGTCCATCAGGTGATACATCTTCAAATTCAATTCCAGGTGTAAATTGAACTGTTGTTGTTTTATAAGTTTTTTCTGATGTTAATGACCATTTTCCATCTTTTTCATCAATTATAACACGAGGTTTAATAGTTTTAGCTATTGTACGTACCTCGTGATTAACTTCAAGTTCTTTTAATAGTTCATCAAAATTTTCTCCATTAATCTAAAATAATAAATCATTTACTATTTTATATAAATAAATAAATAAATAACATACATAATCCCAAGTACCTTTCAATCTTTCAATATCATTATTAGTCGCCATTTGTTTTGTTAAAATCTATCTCAACACATATTTATATTAGTAAAATATATACTCAAAATATTATTAAGAACAAAGGTAATTATCAAGCGAAAAATAAATGTATCTTTCTTTGATGAATAGAACAATAAAATCATGTGCATCTTCTATTCACATCAATGCACAGTGACATATCCTATACTTTTCTTGTTTACAAAGGATATTTATCATATTCAAAAGAAATATACTGTAAAGAACGATGGTGTTACTCACTTTTTTTCTTCGTTTTATCTTTTAGTATGTATGCTAAGCCCGATGACTCATCGAATCAATAGCAAAAAATGTACATTGTGAGGGCGCTACATGTCTAGACTCTTTTTCGAGAGTTCTAATGATGAATATTTTCACTCACTCGGTAAATTAGAAATTTGAGTTACATTAGATTTATTAGCCCAAGTCGCGTTTACGAGATCACCATTGAATAGCGGTAATTAGCGCACGTTAATGGTGATATCAAACCAATAGAAATTTAAGAGTGCACACGACATTGTCATCTTTCTTTTATAGAAGGCAAAGTTGACGTCCACGTACAAAAAACATCTTTTCTTCATTATTGTGATATTGTATTGTTTCGTCAAGGTGAATGCCATCAAAAATTATTCCATGCGTTCTTTGCGGAAAACAAGGTCGACTCCCTCGTTCAAAATACATAAAGATTTGTACAACTGAGAGAGAAGAAAAAATTCGTGAAGGTTATCGACGTCGACGTGGTCAAGAATTAAATGTTTCACTTTTATATCAACAAGTAAACGTCAATTATTATAAATCACTGGTCTTCGACTTAGAACCACTTTCATTTATTACTAACAGACGAGAACAAAAGAAAATAAAAGGGTGAGTGTGGGTTTGGGTGGGTGTGGGTTTGGGTGGGTGTGGGTTTGGGTGGGTGTGGGTTTGGGTGGGTGTGGGTGTAAGGTGTGGGTGTGTGATGTGGGTGTAGATGGGTGTGAGTGTGAGGGCGTGAGTGTAGGATGTGGGTGTGGGATGTGGGTGTGGATGTGAGGGCCTGGGTGTGGATGTGGGTGGGTGAAGAAGATGTACTGACCAACCCACATCCATCCACCCATACCCACACCCATATAAAAATGCTCAAACATATTAATCAAATTAGTTTCGTTCAATATATTAGGAAATCTAAAAGGACAAGCGCCTTGTTTTGTAAATAAACATAGTATCCATACAGTTTGGATCAACTAAATGACACATTTTAAAACAAAAGTTGCAACTATATTGCGGCGAAGAAAATAATTGCAACTTACCATATTTTTCTATAGGTAAATTATATTGAGATATCATATTTGAATTATTATGATACCATTTAGATACAATATCGATCGATTTCAAGCCGACAGCTGATGCAGAGCCATGACCATATATATGACTTGGTCTATATGACGAAATTTTGCTTGCTGACGGTTCCAATGGTACTCTACAGAGATGAGATGAGAATAGATGCTATCAAACATTAACAAGGTGGAAAGGTTAATTAAGTTATTTATAATCAATATTGAACTGTAGTACATATATTTTATCGAGTTTTTTCAAATCTCGTCTGTTTTAATTATACTCTTATATATGTTTTTTGCTAAAATTTACCTATTTTAGAAGAAATTAAGATGTTTCATCAAAATACACGATTTTTCATTGAAAACAAAATTTTTTTAACTGAACAGTATGCATATAGGTTCATATCATCATGATATGTTGATATGTTTTTATTCTAGTTTTCAATTACAATTGACCTTATCAAAGTCCATAACTATTTTTCTTATGAAAAGACAGCTTAATATTCGTCATAGCAGAGATGGGCATGGTTCAAGTTTTTGAAAATTTAGATCGAACCGAAACCGAAATTTTTCAAACCGACCCGAACAAAACCAAAAAGGAGTTACCGAGTCTCCTATTTTGAGAATGCCTTCTGAAAAAAATTTTTTCGTAAAAAGTTATTCACTGAGTTCAACTTCATGAGATGGCATATTTTTCTTTTAGAAAAATATCATATCCTTAAGGTTAAAGCTTTCAAGATGTGTCTAAAACTAAACTTCATCATACTATGAAAAATAGAGGCTTTGTAGAAGTTTCAATTGTATGCTTTAGGTTCATTTGTTTTTGTTGAAACTTTGTATGTAGAAGCATCTACATACTAGGTATATTATTTCCAAATTATGAGAGAATCAGACGTTGCATTCAAGAAATATTAAAAAGAATACTAAGTCTCGTAATTTTGACATAAACTGCAGCCAGAGGCGTAGCCAGGGGGGGGCGGGGGGGTGCACAGGGTTTTTATTATTATGGACAAAAAATCCTAATGTTAATTCATCTTCACACTCTGATGTTATTACTCATAATGATTGTAAACTATCCTCTACTATATTATTGATGATATTTCTGATTGGCTAAAACCAACGTTTGAAGAAATTAAATAATTATTTGAAACTTTTATTTTTTGTTATACTTTTGAACAATTAATTTTGTTTGTCTTTTTATATAAACTTGACTCAAGAAAAGAGTTAAAATAAACTATTGAAATACCGACAATTAATGAAAAAAAAAACAAGTTTAAAAAAAAGATTGGTTTGAAACAAATTTAGACATATGGGGGAGAATGGGTCTCAACTCTCATTCATGGATGAAGGACCCATTGAAAAAGAAGAAAAATTGGTGTTCTATATAATGCGTGACCACAAATGGTTTCATTAAACCAGTAACAATTTATTCTTAGTTTTAACTGATATTGTGCTATATCTTTGAAAATATAACTAGTAAACTTCACATAGGAACTATCAATAGGACAGAAACTACTCCATGTCGAATTAAATTAGAGTCTTCATGTGTTTGTGAATCTTTATAAATGTTTCTACAAAACTTAATCGACAAAACGAAAATGCTACAATACTGATTAAACACAAGTGAAAGGTAGATGACTGTCGAAAAAAAAAATCAAATCAATTAGCATTAGGAAAAATAACTATCAAAGTCTATATAAACAAGCCCTTAATATATTCCAACTATAACTGACTTCGTCATGGATTATTTATTGTAAAATTTATTATTCCTAGTTTCTTAAGAAAAAATAAATAAGCATTTATCATCCGTTCAATATATACCATTCAGACCTTGCTTTCAATTTTTCGCGCTTAACTTATTCATGCGCAACTTTCATTAACATATTTTCTGAAAAGCTACGGTCTATGCGATATGGTCATAATGCTTGACGACATTCTAAGATAGTGGTGCGTATATAAATATAGCTATGAAAGGACCTTAAAATTACACTTTTTTGGCAATAGCTGTTTATATGATTTTATGTAAATAAATGAGTAATATGGAATTACATCAAGATATGACTTACTTGAATGGATCGTTGAATAATATTTTCATCTTTCTCAAATAAATTTTGTTTGATCTTCCCGATGATTTCAGAAGACCTAGAAAAGCAAAGAAACTCGCAAAATACAATTAAAGACGAGGAACGACGTACCAAAATTGATTGCCGTTCAACATTTGACATAAACGATAGACTAGATCCATATCATTTCGAAGATCATCGGAACGTAACATAGAATCTAAACCGAAAATACGAAAAAAGTCCATATATTCCTACTTCATTTTTGTTGATTTAAAGTCATTTTGCAAATTATGACAAGAGTTTTAACGATGCTCATGTGCTATAAGCTAGATCAATTTTTGATTTAAACAAAAATATCTTGATAGATGTTTTAGATTTTATATAAAAACTTGCTTTTTAAACTCCTTATGTTCAGCGACTACGAAATGCAATATTTATTCTGAATACCAACCGTTGAAAACGATTTAGTATACTCTTTACATGAGTGTTTTCATAGAACATATCTCAGGTGCTTTCATAGAAGAAAAGAAAATCATATTATATGTGATTATTAAATTAAATCTCAACATTTGGCTGCATGTTTTTAGCTTCCGGTAAATTAATATTCGAAACCCACGTGTCCATGAAAATTCTACAGCTTTAATTTTCATTCACATGATCGTTAAAATTTGATTTTTTTTATCGCTTTATGAGTTCAAGAGTAGTTTATATTCTATTGATTGAAATTTAGTCACTAAAAATTAACTTTCTCTAATGAATTTTACCTATTAATTTCCTCTTACAGCATATATACCGGGTGGCCCAAAAGTAAGTAAACGGAGAAAAAATTGAATATTTCCATTACGGCTCGAGCAAACTGGCTGATTTTTTTACCACTACTAAAGGCATGTACAAGCTTTGTATCCATAATGACAAGCTTAGAGAGACCTTTTGTTAAGTATCACCAGTGATCTCAACAAAAAAATTTTACTTTTTCACAGATAGGAGAAAAAAAAACAATTTACTTCACAAAGGATCTCTCTAGGCATGTCTTTATGTAGATAAAGTTTTAATATGCCTCTATCATTAGTAAAAAGATCAGCTCATTCGCTTGAGCCGTAATGGAGATATTCAATTTTTTTTTGGTAAAGTGACTTTTGCAGCACCTTGTATATTGGTTTTTCTCCTATCTGTGAAGAAGTAAAATTGTTTTGTTGAGATCATTGGTGATACTTAACAAAGAGTCTCTCTAAGCTTGTCTTTATGGATAC